TATATCACAATTTTATAATTGGAATAATTTAGATAAATTTTCAAATAATAAGTCAGTTTCACGCTAGTTCTTTTAAAGTAAATTTGTGCATAACATTTAGATATCTACTATTTGTATGTTTCACAGCATGCTTTCGATAAACATCGACTTCACATCACTGCGGTTGTTCTCGCTATTTCACACAATTAACAAGAAAATGATACCTTATTCTTTTGCATAATCATGCAATGAAAATAAAAATTACATAAACGGATGATCAAACTTGATATTATTTAATAAAAATGTAATTTTTCCAAAATATCGTAAAGAAAAATTGATACATTTTCACACTCGTTTTGCTATATCGTAAACTAAGTCGAAACTACTTAGTAGAAGTCTGACGACTATGAATAGAGGTGAATTTTAAGTTGGTACTCAAATTTAAGTTGCAACTTTGTTAGGTTCGACTTAGGCTATCTGCACACTTGTCGTCCAATCATAGTTGCGTTATCGTCTCGCCCTGAAATTTTGAGCCGAGCACATGCATTTCAAAGGAGATCTGCACACTTGTCGTTATCGGCTAGTTATCGGCAAATCGTAGAAGATGCAGAAACGGATAAGTACGGCACTGTCGTTTGCTAATCGTTGTGCACGCATTGTTTGTTTACATTTTATGGGGGAAAATTAGTGAAAAAGTTAATATTTGCATTAAAATTGTATAAAAATTAGTATTTTTTTGCATAAAATCTGTGGAAATTATTAAAAAGTGGATAATTGCATTAAAATTTAATAAATATGAGCGTTTTAACTATAAAATATGACGATTGCAGGTTTTTGTAAATATTTCGCGAAAATATCAACAAAAAAAAACAGAAAATACCTGCTCCAAGTGAATTTTTAGACGCCAAATGAATTGAAATATCACGACCAAGTGTGCAGAAGTGTAATCGTCATGTAATCGTTGCTTCATGACGATAACTATGACTCAACTATGATTGGACGACCAATGAGCAGAAAGCCTTAGTTGCTGGACTATGAATACGCGCCATTGTTTTCTTGAAGACGACATGTTGATAATGAAATTGCTTCTCAAATTGAATGCAGCCTGCGTGATGACTTTCAATTTTGATGATTTTTGACAAGCAATGTGTCTGAGGAAATTGAAAGGCAAATCTGACTGTGTGTCGTCAGCGTAATAAGTTATAGCTGCTATTTCGGAGATCACCACATCTCCTCAGTGACCGCGGTTGAAGAAGTCTGATTAGTAGATGTGGTGATCTCCCAAATAGCAGCTATAACTTCTTACCTTTGTAAATTATTGTTGCTTTTCCACAACATTTTTCATAAAAAACGGCCCCAAGCTCAATAAAATTGTTGGATTCATTCTGAATGCTAATAACCTAGCCGTTAAAACAGAACCAAACCCCCCTTAGAATTTTAACAAGATCAGGCCTAGAATCTTTAGGCCCGAATGACCTTACGATGGTATGCATTTTGATGCTAATGATAGAAAGGGTATAGAAAGGATAATAAAATACAGGAAAATACATTCATAATTATTAAAGTATTCAATATTGCTTTAAATTTAACTAGAAATTAACAAATTGCAAAACATCGGAAACCATCGATATATCGATGTTTCTCTGCCGATGTATTTTAGCCTCGATGATCTTTTGTCCGATGCATCGAAACATCGATGTATCGATGTTACTGCTCAAAATTTGCATCCCTAGTTATGTGATGTGATGTCAGGTAATGCAATGCAATGTGATACGATTTCATGTGATGTAATGTGAAGATTTCATGTCATGCCAAATGATGTCACATCAGTGATACCAAAATCGATAAAAATATCGATAAAAACATCGATTAAAATATCGATAACAAAATCGATTAAAATATCGAGAATAAAATCGATAGCCAGTCGATACTCAGATCGATAACAAAACCGAAACCCAAATCGATAACAATGTAGATAACAAAATCGATAAAAATATCGATACCCAAATCGATAACAAAATCGATAAAATTATCGATAACAAAATCGATTAAAATAACCTCATCTTTTCCTTAATATTTATCTTTATCATCTTTATGTTTATCATTTTCTACATCTACATATTCCCCTTCACCAGTGCCCTTATATTAGTAAAATGTTTAAATTTACCTTGATCTTAATTTTTGAATTTATCTTTACGCATCTTTGTTTTTGTTTTTATTTTTACCTTTGCCTTTATCCTTTTCTTTATCAATATAATAAAACATCTTATTTTCGGTGTATCATATTATGAATGTGCACGCTCTCTTCTTTCCCAATTTGCCAAACGACGTCGTAACGACGTCGTTTCCGACTCGTTTTGGTGAACAATTTGTTCGCCGGCGACGGTCGCAAACGACTCGCCGTCGGATGAAAAGCACACTTCGCCGGCGGGCCGCAAAAACGACTCGCCGGCGAGTCGCAAAAACGACTTACCGGTGGGTCGCAAAAACGACTCCCTGCAGCCCGCAAGAACGATATACCAGCGAACTGCAAAACGACGCTCAAAGTTGCTAGAAAATTAAAAACAATTTTTTTTTAGTTGAAAATAGTTTAATTTAATTCATTGAATTTTTTTCAAAGTTTTTAATATAAAAGAAAAATAAGGTAAACATTCGGTCATAATATACAAACAAAAATTTTAATATATTTTAATATAATATAAGTTTTAACAATTAACTTTTTGTTACTTCATTTTACTTATCTTTAAAATGAATTATAATTGGGTTTATTTTTTAACAAGGACCATGTAGTTCAAAATTAAAGCAATGTGCAGTATACATACATTCATATATATGTATAAATAAAAATATTTCAACAAGCTTTCATAAAAATTAAAAGCTTTTTAATCTGCATTTATAAAACACATAGGAAGCAGTTTTATAGTCCATAAAATGTTAGTATAATAGAACACAGGTTTGAAGTAACACAAAACTCACATTGATTTTTGGTGTTATTTTTTTTGTGGTACTGCGCATTTTCATCCATATGAATTTTATGACAGAAAATGCATGCTTTGAGGCACTTCAACCGTGTATTCTATTATACATACCAAACTTCAATGGACTTTAAAACTGCTTCATGTGTTCATGTGCTTCTTTAATGCAGAATAAAAATCTTAAAATTTTATAAGCTTGTTAATTTTTTTTATATGCACATACATGCGTATGTATATTGCGCAATTTTTGAATTTTAAACTATATGGTCCTTGTTAAAAATAAACCCAATTTTTATAAAGATAACTAAAATGAAGTAATAAAAAAATAAATTGTTAAAACTTATCAATATGACAGATAGTATATTTATACAGACGACTGTGAAACATTTCTTTTATTCCGTTTTCTCTCCATTATTTCCACAGATTCGTTGAATTTTTGCTGGAACGCTTCTGAAATAATATTAAAGGTATATTAATCATTTTTGAGAGCTGGGCATCAACAATTAAAGCGTACTTCTAATTGCCGCTGTTGTGATGAGATGCCGCTAATTTTCTACAATTTGAGTCCCTTCTGTCACCTGAAAAAGACTTGCGTGCCAAATGAACTTTTCTCTCAAAGTTTACACTGCTGGCAAATGTAAATAAGGATTACAATTTAAACACTAATTAATCCGACTAAAGTAAAATCTGTGAAAATTAACAATAAAATACTTTTTTCGCAAAATCTATAAAGGACCCTTTTATTTCTCAAACAAACCTGGGTAACAGGTGTTCGTCGCCACGCTGTAAAGTAAAAGAACAGTTGTCTACCAAATAAAAAAAACTTATTCCCACAAATTTTATTTTTTATTAATAAGGCCAATGAGTGAACTTTACCTTTATAAAAAAACATTTTATATGAAAAATATTATGAATACTGAAAAAAAGATGTAGGTGGTTTATTTTTCTGAGCACAAGTGTACATTGTGGATTCCATATTCTGTTATGATAAAAAAAATTTCATAATAAAAACGGTTTACTATCCAAATGAATGACTTTTATTTATGCTTAGATATATTAAAATTTGGGCGTGCAACTTGTCCAACCTAGACCGAAGGTTCCTCAAAAAACTTTTAGGTTCGAAAAAACGGATTCGTTTCGAGTTCACCAAAACGACTTCACCAGGGCGACGTCGTAACGGCTTCACCAAAGCGACGTCGTTTAGAGTTCACCCAAACGACTTCACCAGAGCGACGTCGTAACGACGTCGTTTCGAGTTTACCAAAACGACTCCACCAGAGCGACGTCGTAACGACGTCGTTTCGAGTTCACCTAAACGACTTCACCAGAGCGACGTCGTAACGGCTTCACCAAAGCGACGTCGTAACGACGTCGTTTCGAGTTCACCAAAACGACTTCGCCAGAGCGACGTCGTAACGACGTCGTCTTCGCCCTGTGGCAAATTGGGTTGTCATAAATGTTCGCACATGTATGTGTACGTATATGTCATGTAAAGAAATGCCTAACGCTTTGCTTCCTCTTATGTACGTCACTTATATTTTTCAGTCTTTCAATAACCCACAAATTAAGACACTTAAAAATAATAGTCCCTGCCAAAGTGTCTTTGCCTAAGGGAAATTTAAGCAGTTGCTAAATAACCCACAACGGAAAACACAAAAAGATCGCACCATGGGCGTAGCCAGGTAGGGGCAGCGGGATGCTCGAGCCCCCCCTAACTTTCAAATTTTCCTTATATACATATAAAATAGTACCCTGAAATGCCAGCTTAATAGGGTCGAGCCCCCCCTAAATTTCATTCTGGCTACGCCGATGGATCGCACAGAGTGATTTGCCACAGTGAGAAACACTCTTTGCTTGAGAGATGAGTGTTTGTGTCATTGGTAAACACCATACGAGACACTTGGTGACGGTTATTTTCGATCTCTGGTCAAAACTCGAATGTCACCAATGCGCAAACCTTTATTTATTGAATCATGGGGCGGGGGCCCGATTTTTATTTTTTGTTACTCGCCACGAATAGAAACTTGTCTTAATTTTTTTTTAATTATTATTTTTATTAATGGAAGAAAACGGTTACAATTTTAAATACATATTTTTTATAAGAATATTTGAGCCTTTACTAAATAATTGGTGATTTTAATATATTTTCTCCATATATCGCAGTAATAGCCACAAGCCGCGAGTCTAAATAATTATGCTCTACCTCACATCGGTTGCCCTCCCCTGCTAATTTTACGACTTGCTTAATACAAGCATTTCGCGGTAGATAAAAAACAATATTTTCACTAAATGTCTTAGCGATTTCCATCAACTGGGAAGCTCCTGCAGGCTGTAAAAATCTTTCAATATCATAGTCTGATTTTGTCTTGTACTTTGGACCACCCCAGGGAGGACTCAAGAAAACAACATCGCTGCGAAATCGCCCGCTGCGTCCTATTTGTAGAAAATCTCCTACTATAAAATCAATTTTATCAGTTACCCCATATATCTTTGCATTATGTTTCGCCATATTTATTTTTATTGGATCTATATCGATTGCTACAACATGTTTGCATGTGCGTGCGAATTGTATAGAATTTCCACCGCAACCACAGAAGGCATCTACGATTAAATCGCATGATAGACGATCTGCCAAGTGAACTGCAATTTTTTCGGGTGTTACCGAAAACCAACTTTCACAGTCTAAACGTATCCCGTCATCATATCGAGAAAATAAAGAAAACCGTTTTCTCCAGTATTTTAACATGCCTTTGTTTTCAAGAAGAAATGTAGGTACATTGCGTAGTTTCCTGTTTTTCTTTTTCTTTTCTATACACTTTTCTTTAATGTCATACATTGGTTTATTATCCTTAACCTTTCCATCAAGATTGATATGATTTCCTGCCGGCGTTTCCGAGACACATACATTATCCATATTTATATAGCTTTCTTCGTCGTCTGAAAAGAAAGCGCTGTAAATCTGGTGCAGGTTTGCGTTCCTGTTCAAATATTTTTTCTTTTTGGTGACGGCTCTGCCAAAAGCTGTAGGAAGTCCAAACAGTTCGAGCTGATCAAAGTCATCGACAATATCTTGATTATTTACTGCGGGTTCTTCAATTTCAGGTTCTTTTGCTTCTAAAGAGTAGTGCAAATGCTTGTAATATTCGTAAAAAATAAAGGCGAACACCTGATATTGCTCTTCGTACACTGTTTCGTAGTATTGCTGCCAAAATTTATGATTTTCCATACACATATCTGTCCCAAGGGGGTTATCAAAATATGTCGTCTCGGTCTAAAATGAGAATCTTAGGGAAATACATATAATCATTGTTATGCACCACTCACCTCGCTAGGATTTAGAGATTTTTTTCCATTCTCACGAAAACGCCAAAACTCCTCATTAACAATGATGTCCCCGTTTATACACCAAAATTCTAGGAACCTTTCTTTTTGAATGGTCTCATAATCTTTTTCAAATAAACTCAGAATACGCTCAAAGCTAAGATTGCTTTCAGTCTTAAACAACTGATTGAAAACAAATAAACGAGGCTGTGTTCCGCAAGTCTCCACGAAGTACTGATGCATATTCAGTCTCGTGTTTTACGTACTGTTCTACACTTAACCATCAGATTTATCTATCATTAAGTTAAAATCTTTTCGTTGTTGTTGTAGCGGCTTTATCTTTTCGTATTTACTTTCGGTTCGTGTGTCTAGTATTAATAAAACTGAGCCACCTTTCAATTGCTTCGTTTTTAGGGTTTTATTTAAGCATTGATGTTATTGCTAGCAATGACATCGATTCGAGTAAATAATGTACATACTCGATATTTTCGATCGTTACCAAGTAATTTTGGAATCGATACTTTTGCATTTAGGCTGCTTTTACACAGTTCAAGCATTGAATTAAATTCTGCTCGTATATGGAAGAGGAGGATGAGAAGATAAAGCGATGAGTACACATCGTCGCTTGGGTAAAAGATTGTCGTATGTTAATTTTGGCAGGTTGTGGGAAATCGCGATTGAAGTTTGGAATGCAATTTCTCAAAAACGCGAAGATAGATTTTCTCCAAAGTCTCTGAAAATGCTACTAGTTCACCAAATTCTTAAATTATTTAATTTTTAATGTTTATTGTTAATTAGTTTTGAGTTTATGAAGGATTTTCTTTAGTAAAATTTTGTCGTAAGCGTCATTTGTCCACAATTTGGGAGCCACTTTGTATGAAATACGACAAAATGTGATCAAAATGTCTATGAAATTAACGACACTTTTTAATCAATATCTCGGAAACTAAAGGAGATATCCGAAAATGGAGGACGCCATTTTTAAGATATGGATTAGTTTAATATGACTGCATCCCCAACTAAATTTTTACTAAATGATCGAAAAAGTTGTAGTCAATATCTCGGAAACTAAAGGAGATATCTAAAAACTGATAACACCAATCGAAAGACCTTATTTCAAAATATATGACTGCATCTAGAACCAAAAATCGTCAAAATGGCGCTTACGACAATCTTTTACCCAGGCGACGACATGCGTCTGTACCGTCAAGTCCTCAGTATATCCAGTAAACAAACTTAGCTATTTTTTTTTTACCAAGTTTGGTCCCCATAAAGGACTAGTGTTGCAAGCAACGCTTTTTCGGCAATTAGGGTGTTGTGCAGCTATTTAATGTGTTGAAAATTATTTAAGGACTGGAGAGATTTATTCACATGGAATTGGAGATAGGGCTGATAGATTTATTTTAAATAAATTGTGAATCTGCGAAAATATCTTTTCAGCAGATGAATATACTTTTTAACCTTTTTTCCGAAAATTTACATACAGGCTCGAAAATATGCGAGTAACATTAGGTTTGTATAGTAACTTCTCCAGTAAAACATTGCAGCGAGAGCGTAAAAGCAAAATAGAGCGTAAAATTGAGAAGAAGAGAAAACCAGCAGAAGAGGTTATTGAACACAAAACTAGCAAAAACTTGCAAGAGAACAGTTGTTGCAATGCTTTGACAATCTGCTGTAAACATTTTACTATTTATAAATCAGTTTTAAACTCTTTGCTTTACACACAAGCACTTACACTGTCCAGTACATCATTAATATTATGATTTCCACTCATTTTACTTTTGTTTGTGCCGAAGGCGAATCAATACAAGGTGATAGCAGGAGTACAAAAACAAAAATTTACATGTATTTTGTTTTTGCTTTGGCGGCATAAACTGTCAAAACCTGTAAGTGTGTGTAGAAATTCAAACAAAATTTTTCAATTGGATATCAGAAGCCGTGCGGCGAAACACATACACAAAATCAACTGAGCTAGTAACACCACTTTTTATATATTCCTTTTGACATTTATTCTTCTTCTTCTTCTGCTAGCTAATTTCTGCTAGTAAAAATTTCACTAGCAAGAATTTGCAGCTCTCTCGTGTTGTTACGCTCTCGATTCAGTGCTCTCTTGCAAATTTTTTGGGTTATCATACACTTTTCCAGTAAAAGTTTGCAGGTTCCAGTACAAATTAGTACTGACTATTGGTAACTATACAAACCTATTCAAATATCGTCGCCTGGATGGAAAATTGCCGGAAGCGTCATTTTGACAAGTTGTGGTTTTTGGATATCTTCTTTAGTTTCCGACTAATTGACTAAAATTTTTTCGGTTATTTGGTACAAATTGCGTTAGTATTGCTGTCGTACTAAACTAATCAAGATCTTTCAAATAGAGTTATCTGTTCTTCTTTAGTTTCCGACATATTCAGCTTTATCAGGAGTTTCATTTTCTAGAACCGGGTCACTTTTCGTTTGTGTGTGTTCACTACAGGTGGATGAAAAAATTGTTGGCGAAATTTTGTTCGGGCGAAACTCACGATTAGGCTGATTAATAAAAAGTATGGTTAATTTATAAAAATTGTTATCACATTTTGGCGTATATCACTAAAACTGACTGCAAATTTTTTGACAAATGTCGTATACGACAAAATTTTATTAAACTCATAAATGGTTGACACTAAACTAAAAAAAATAAGATAATTTAAGAATTTCATGAACTAGTACATAGCATTCTCCGACACTTTGGAGAAAATCTGTAGTCGTGTTTCTGAGAAATTGCATTCCAAACTTCAATCGTGAGTTACCGAAGGTAACTTGTGACAATCTTTTATCCAGGGATCTACATAAATTATAATTGTCATTATTTTCGCAGTTGGAGTATATGCCAGACGAGTAACAGGTATATACATACAAGGATACCTAAATTAGCGCGTTGAACTTGTATATTTATCTCTCTCCAACGCATTAATTCTATATACGTAGGTACCAACGCCTGACAAAGTTATGTCTAAATTTAATAATGGCTCTATGACAAAATATTCATGGAATGTATTCGTAGATTTTTATTTACTTCATTTCATACATTAGCATTGATGTTTTGTTTTTCATACATTAGTATTGATGTTTTTTACTAAATACCAGGAATAAATATTTAATAAAAAACTATTTCATTTAAGCTTAACCAACTTTTAGTTGCTCGGAGCTAATTTTGGAACGCTTCACGAAATATTTTCAGCCCGTTAATGATGCACCCAGGGTTGCATTTACTGTCTGAA